AAGCAAAGGAGAAATGGTTTCTTTGTGGTCTTGAGTCACACTGGGTCAAGTGTTTATGACTCTAATAAACACAGCCCATCTTTTGTAAATGGGAAAAAAAAGAAAACAAATTGCGACGGCAGTGTACATGCTGGCATCAACCATAAACCCAAAGTTACCTTCCACTTCAGAACTTGAGAAGTGATGCTGATCTGGGTTAGCCTGGGTGCTCAATAAAATCAGCAATACCACAGCATTGATGATCAGGTACCAGACGCCAAGCAAGATGGTGCCAGTTGCAGCAGACACAGCAGCACAGGAAGCAGGTGCTGGAGTAGAACCTCACCCAGGGCGCGACCCCCCTTATCACTCTGGCCACGGCGACTAAGTTTCTAGGAGCGTAGCCCAATCTGCCATTCCATTGCTGCTGCCTCCTTGTGCACCTGTGCTCCTGGCCCACCCACCCCACTCGCCTCCCCCGTCCTAGCTCCTGGCCTGCTTGCCTACTCCCTATTTTCCCCCTCCCCTCCGGCTCCCAGCCCTCTTGCCTACTCCCTAGCCTCCGTGTTCCTCATTCTGCGTTCACCAGAGTGCTCCCGGTAGCTGCAGTAGCTCAAGGGGAATCATTTTATTGTAAAGCCTACTATAACTGAACATTGGATCTGCAGTGCAGTTTGCTGTTAATGGGGGGGGGAGGGTAGGTAATTAAGGAACATTTTAATCTAAGTGGACCTAAATGACTTTTCTTGTCTTTTCTTTGTGTCTTTTAAGGTTCCAGAAATTATTTCTGTTCTCTTTTTCTTCATTCTAATGTTTTAACATTTCCTTGGAGATGAGCCCTGTTAATGGTTCAGCCCCAACAGCAATAAACACAGTCCTCTATCCCACACTTGGTGCACATCTGCGTCGTCCCTCTCAACTGAGCAGAACTGACAAATGCACAAAACTTGGACTACAGAAAAATACTAAAAATACAACTCAAATGTTTACTTTTAGGGCAACAAAAAGGGATGGAAGCTTTTACCATTCTCCAAAAAGTAAAGATGTTAACTGCCTCCTATAGTAACTAACATGGCAAACAGGTAGTGTTGGTGGGAGCTGTGACACCACAGCACTCTACTGAGGGCAATAAAGTGAGACTCTGGCTCTTTAAAAAAAAAAAAGGTATCTTTACTTTCCAAGGGGCAGTGAAGCCTATTCAGCCATCAGCTGTGATGACTCCCTATTCAGCCCCATATCAGTTGTGATGACTCCAGGTGAGGATTCCTTTCACCTTTGCTGCCGTGCATGTGGTCAAGATAATGGTGTAAAGTTCTAACTCCTGGGCGTAGGCAATTCTCTTGCCTTAGCCTCCCAAGTGGCTGGCACTACAATGCCCGGAGGGGCTGGCCCCACCCTCCCTATATGGGGCCAGTGCCCTACCCTCTGAGCCACAGACACCGTCCAGTAAAGATAACTTTTAAGATGATCAACATGCCCTGCTCCAGTCACATTCTGGGAGCTGGCTGGTCAACGCACGGCTGAAGCCTATGGAAACTCCTTGAGGGACTTGTCTTAATCGAACTTTGTACTTTGGGAAAGGTGGGGGGCGGGGGGAGGAATATCATACAGGGAAAAGTAAAAACTCGTATGTATATTAACCCACCACCACAGTACTATTAAGACTTGGGTAGAGAAACCAAGAAAAGTCATCACAGTCCCTAAAATCTAAGCACTGAAAAGTGATTAATATCGGCACCCGCAGAAGCAAGCTGATATTGAGACCCCAAATTAAAATATATTGGAGTCTCAAAAGGGGGGAATGAGAGAGAATACCCAAGAAGTGTGAGGTCTAGAAGAACAGGTCTTCCCAAGGAGACCACAAGGATACATCTGCAGGGTCCTCTCCATGGTGACTCAGCTCTCTGTAATGTAAACTTCCTGGAACTTGGAAATTTCCACTTCTGCGAAATCCTGTAATCCTGTGGGGGCTGGAATAGCATCACCCGCTTGATTCAAACTAGTCAATGAAAAGGGTACCTATGGTTTGGAACTTTTTGACTATCGATAAAAAGGGAAAGATCACGCCAGTAAAGGAGTGTGGCCATTTGGAATTCTTCTATGCCCTAAGCTCCCGGCCAGTGAATAAAGCCCTTCCTCTTATTTATAAATAAATAAGTAAAGTTCCATTGGCCTGTTGGTTAATATGCCCTCTCTCTGGTATAGGGAGTAAGTTCTTCATATTCCAGAAGTTTTCTAAAACTAAGTAAAAACTGCCTCCACCAAATACTTCTTACAAAGTTTGATAATCTTTGTTTCATTAATTTAGGACCCGACTTCACTGCTGTACCCTTAAAATGGTGCTATTGTGCTTGCTCAGCCAAGGGTATGGGCTCTCCTCATTTCCCATCTGATGGAAAAACCAACAAATGCATCTGTGAAGATGGCCCCCTACTCTGACTCATGAGCACTCCCTTGATCTTATAAATTCTGTCCCACAGAGTGCTGAAGCAGAGGCTGACAGCTAGTCTAGTTCTCAAGGGCAGCTCCTCACTGTAGTGGTTCATGGGTAGGGTCGGGTCTCTAGACCAGCAGCAGCAGCAGCAGCACCTGGGAACTTAGGAAAACACACATTCTTGGCCCCAACCTAGGACCTTTAGAATTAGAACCTGTTTGGCGAGCTCACCAGGTGACTAAAGCCCTCAGGTTTGAGAACCAAGACTGCAGGCAGCAGCTGTCACACTGCGCATACCCTCAGAGCCTGCAGGTGGCACTAAAAACCAACCAGAAAGGAGGGCATATGTAACCCTTACAGAGCCCATCTATCTGACTACACAGTGCTGCTACTTGTTCCTTAACAGCTGCTCTGCCTTAGCTAAGGTGTTAAACAAGAATTGGACTGAAAGTCCTTCTCACAATTGAATAGTACATACATTAAGCCTATAGTTTTCAGGGACGAAATCATTACTAAACTCTTTCTAAGGTTTTGTGTTTCATACAATGAGGATACAAACACACTTTAAGAATGAAGATGCCAATACTGATTAAACAGAACAAAATAAACTCAAATTACCATCAGCTATTGTCTATCTCTAAGTAACAATAATGCACTTGATTCTGAAAGCATGCTTTAGAGTGCCTACCCTGAAAATATAATTGATTTAAGTGACAAAGTGAGAAGGAAGATTATTCTAACGAAAAGCCTGCATACATTGGGCAGCACCCACACTCAGTGGGTAGGGCGCTGGCCACATACACCGAGGCTGGCGGGTTCAAACCCAGCCCAGGCCAGCTAAAACAACAATGGCAACTGCAACAAAAAATAGCTGGGCACTGTGGCAGGCACCTGTAGTCTCAACTACTTGGTAGGTTGGGGCAAGAGAATCACTTGAGCCCAAGAGTTTGAGGTTGCTATGCAGCTACTTGGGAGGTTGGGGCAAGATAATCGCTTAAGCCCCAGAGTTTGAGGTTGCTGTGAGCTGTGATGCCACAGCACTCTATCCAGGGCAACAGCTTGAGACTCTGTCTCAAAAAGAAAAACAAGCCCTTTGCTAGAGTCTACCCATACCCCAAATTTTGCATTAGCTCTGTTTTACCATCCAAACATCTGTATGAGGCTATGTGGCACTGCTTGCCATACAACTACTCTGTGAAACCATTCAGCAGTGTCTACAAAAGCTACACCTACAGTACCTAGGACCAGGCGCTCCACTCTTGGGTATATGCAAAAAGCCTCCTAAAAGATTGTTCTTATAAATAAACTCATAGTATTTGCAAACTGGAATCCAAATGCCCATTCACAGTAGAAGAGTTAAATCTTATGGATGTTCACACAGTAAAACAGAAGCAGTAACGGAAAAATCAACCAACAATAAGCCAAACCACTAGTACACACAACCTCGGGAAATCTCACGGTCAGGGATGAATCTCTCATGCAAAGAAAGAAGCCAGACACAAAATGGTACACTCTCACTTAACAGGGAGAGCTGATCTCTGGTGACAGAGGTCAGCACAAAGGTTACTTAGGACATGCTACTTGACCTTGGGAATGATTACTGGAGTGTATACTTATGAAAAGTTTAGTAAATTACCTGTTTCTAAAGGGGATAGTTAAACCCATGGGCAAAAAAGTTTTGACAGATTGTCACAGAACAATTTTCTACATCCACCGTAAGTATCTAGGTTCATGGGAAACTATTATCAGTAGCACAGTATATTTACTGCAAAAATAACTCAGCTTTTGCTCAGCTATATCTCAAAATTAAATAGTGAATAGGGATTTTCCTTCTTTTCAGTGTGCACTGTCAAAGGTTAACATCTATAAAAAAGCCAAACCCTTATGGCTTGCACTCCCTAGCCTAGTGGTTCCTAATGCCACGACCCTTTAACAGTTCCTGTGGGCCACCACCCACCGCTGCCCTAGCCCAATTCCTTTTATTCTGCCAACGAGTCCCTCCTTGTTTGGCACTGGAGGGACTCCAGCCCGCCCTTTCAGCCTCCCTGGGGATATGACTGGCCATTCCAGTCTAGGAATCTTGATTCCACATGCCCTAGATAGCCAGTCATATCCCCAGGGAGGCTGAAATGGCGGGCTCCTGTCTGTGGTGATCATCCTCCTGAACCTCTCTGAACGGCCACTGGCCTACCCTCGAGTCCCGCCACACCACCCCGGGCCTGTGCAGGCAGGGGCCATGGGAAGCCAGCGCACCTTCTCCGAGGCACTCTGGGCCTACTGGATCCCTGGCTCAGACCAGAAGCAGCAGAGCAAGTCGCCGAACGGGGGACAATCCCCGGGGCCCGCAGCGCACCCAAGACCCCTGAGCCTGCGCGCCTCTCCAGGGCCGTCTTCCGGCAGCCCACCCGACCCACGGGGGGACAGGGCGGGGAAAACACGTCCGGCTCCATCATGCGCTTCCGGGTTTGCAACCGCGCTGGCCGCGACCTACGAACAGCACGCGGGGCACAGCGTCCCAGCGAATCCCGTCTCGGGCCGGGAGGGGACCGGGGTGCGGGCGCCCCGCGCCGGGGGCGCACACGTTTACCTGGAAGCAGGACCACGAGCTGCCGGGCGCGAGCCCCGTCCCCGCGGTCGAGGTCGGCGGCCATACCGTCCGCCTTCTTGGGCGCGCGCGGCGCCGCCACCGCAGCCCCCGCCGCGCGGAAAATGGCGGGAGCAGGGCCTACCCGGGTGCGGGGCGGGTTCCTTCGCTTCCGGGACCAGCCTGTGCTACGTTTTTAAATTTAGCGCCGGGCACGACCAGGGCCGGGCCGGTCGGCTTTCCCTCCCGCGGCCCGGCAGCGGTGGGCGCTGGCCGCGCAGGGGCGCAGAGTGACGCGACGCGCGGGGCGGGGTCGCCGCGGCCCCGGTGCCGGGTCGCAGCGCCCGGCGGCCCTGCCTCTAGGCGGTGGCGGGCCCCTGGGATTCCTTGCGGGAGGGCGAGCGAGAGCCCCGGCTGCGAGCTGGCGTCCGGAGGAAGGACCCTGCCCGCCACCCCACCCCCCCACTCCCCACCCCCCGAGGACTGAGGGACTCGCCAGAAGCGAGTCACAGCCGAATCCTACCCTAACTCTTAGGCGTGGTGCACGATTTGTGTTTGCATCAGTCCTCAGTGGCTTTCGGCAATGGATTTTTTTTTTTTTGAGATAGTCTAATTTTCACCTTCAGTAGAGTGCTGTCCTGTCACAGCTCACAGCGACCTCAGACTCTGGGCTCAAGCCATTCTCTTGTCTCAGCCTTCAGAGTAGCTGGGGCTACAGGCGCCCCCCACAACACCCGGCTAGTTTTAGAAACTGGGTCTCGCTCTTGCTGAGGCTGGTTTCGAACCTGTGAGTCAGGCAATCCACCTTGGCCTCCCAAGTGCTGGGATTACAGACGTGAGCTACTACCTGGCCCGGCGATGGATTTAATATCCGAATTTGTGTATGTCAGTCGTAAAGCCTGCCAGCGGCGTTGGATTCGGTGCTCACCACCAAAAGGAAGTGTGGACACCGTGGGGTTCACAATACGAATAGTTATTTTGGAGAACTATTTTTAAATAAGTTCAAAATTGAGACATTTAAAAAGTGATGTTTCAAAAGTTAGGATCATGAAATTTTGGAATTTAAACTTTCAAAAATGACATTTTAATTGAAAAAGTTATGCTTGGTATATGCTTTTTAAAACGAAGAAGAAGAAAAATACTCCTCCTGTGTTTTAAAGAAAAGTATTTGTCTCTCCCATTCCAGGTACCCAATATGCTTACTCAGGGCATTTATTGTTAACATTTCTTTTCTATTTCTTTTCTTTTCTTTTTTTTTTTT